CTCAGGAGCGATTGCACATCGGTAGTTATTCTTTATTTTGTGTTTAGCACCTTGATGACATCAATAATAATGGTATTTATTGTCTGCAAATGTGAAATAGATGATCTCAGGGTTACAGATGTGAATGTGACGACGGTAGAAATGGATTCTAAATTCAATGTAGACCTGCAATCTCGAGAAACTATATATTTTGGTAAATATCGCTTTTTTTTTCATTTGGCTGTATAATGTGATCGAAACGTTTTTTGCTTATTCTTTTCTTTCATGGATTATCAAAGTCAAAAAAGAACCAAGTGGTATGTTGACTATTTAATGGTTTACACGTTGATTTCTTCGATATTTACTCTTTATCTAAATCGCAGAATACATCACGAAGCAATACCAACTTTCGTTAGAAGACCTTTCATTGGATGATTGATAGATCGCATTAAAATAATCTTGTAAGTTATAGAATATACTTATAGACTGCTCGCTATATGTACGTATAAGTACTTTTAGCATAAAAACAATTTACACATTACATTACAATATCTCGATTCCATATTTAAGCAACGCCTGTAAAGGAAACATCACGTAAAATTAATTAATTAATAATAATAATAATAATAATAGTAACAATAAAACGATTAGCACTAAGCTTATTTGTTTATTTAATAACCAAAAAGAATTATTTCCGTATTATAATTAAAAGCCTTGGTTAATTGACTTTAAAAATATATACAGTATTTGTTTTCATTATAATTTACATTAAATTTATAAATTGATGAGATAATAAGCTTTTTATTATAATCCTAACCCGTATATTTTATCGTTTACTATTATAATGAAAATCATTTGATAATTTAAATATACAGTACATATATTTTTATATCAATTACTCTTTTTTTAAAAAAATGCTAATATTAAAATATTTAGATTATTTGATATGTTAATGTTCAAAACCCATGTTGAATTTGAATTTTTTATCTTTGATCATAAAAATATATGCAATCAAGTTCATCTCAATTTTAACAATGGTTTATGAATTCTTGCACAATAATTTTTTTTTAAATCAATCTAATTGTTAATTATCTAAAAATATTTGAACAAATAAATTTATCATGTAAATATTTTTAAATAAATATTTTAACTTGATTATATATTGGAGTTTTTATATAATTATACTATTTATGCCTAGATGCATATTGATTTATTGTATTGTTTCAATTAAAAGATATGTAACAATTGTATAATTATTAATTTAACTGTTTTTATTATAAAAAAACTTTTATATATTAAATTTTGCTCAAATAAAAATTTGTTATTATGATCTTAATAATTGTTATAAAAATATAAATTAATTGTAATTAATATTAAATAATAATAATAATATATACAATCTGATTCAAAAAAATACAGAATTGAATTTTTTTTATAATTTAATAAATAATAATTTAAATTAAATATAATTTATAACATATATTATTTATAATAAAAGAAATAATATTTAATTTAAAGTTAAAAAAAAAAATTTTTTTTTTAAACAATTACAAATTTTAAATATAAATTTATATATAAATTCTGTTTGAAAATAAAATTTTTGAATAATAAAATTTTTTAAAAAAATCAATTATAAAATTACAAAAAAATTTTCAACTTATAAAAAAAAAAAAAAACTCTTATTTGTTTATCATTAATTTTTTGAAATTTTTTTTTTATAATAATTTTTTTTAAAAAAATATATTTTTTTTTTTGATGTTAAGGTAAGACACTTCTCATGATCTTTATTGATAGAATAAATATGTAATGTTACATGATCAATATTAAGATATGAGATATATGGCTATACATATCGGTCTACCACCTATTGTAGTAGATATATTTCCAAAAAACCTTGAGCAGACAAAAAAAGAAAGGAACTATCTACTAAGAAAAATAAAAAATAAAAAAACATTTGGGGCAAGATCACCATTTAGTAAAAGAAAAAAGTAGAAAAGAAGAGATGTCAGAAAAATATTGAAACTTTTATTAAATGTGGTTCCTGAATGCAAATAGATGTTTCAGTCAGATGACGGCATCGCGCAAGCCACATATAACTTTATGGGTTTGATCAGGTGATTTTTGTAATGTGTTGTTGTTATATGATGTGACTGTGTTGTAGTGTTGTAGTGGGGTAACTGGAATACGTTCCAGATGTTAGTTGTTTTGTTATAGTGGGTTGTTATGTATTGTAATTACTGGAACCCATACAGGGCACTGATCATGCGCTCTCCCAATCTGGTAAGTTGTTGTATTGTTTTGATGTAATTTGATGATACGGAATGTCATTGGTATTTTATATGTTGCAGATCTTTTGGTGGGGATAAGTTGATTTCAGTTTTTTTGTGTGTGGAAATTGACGAGGACTGACAACTAGTCAAAAGGTTATGCCAATTAACCTGACACTAGTTATCATCAGCAGAAAACAAAAACTCTGAAAAAATAAAATGCTGCCTCTTGAGGAAAAGATTGTGTTTGGTTTTGTGTGTGTTTTTTGTGATGTGATAGGTAGTAATGTGTGTGAATACGGTAAAAAGGTTTTCCTTTGTTTGGAGGTTGCTTACATAGGTTTCACTCAGTAAAGCAAAGAGTTTAATCAAAGAGGTTTTTGCCACTCCCAAAGCATCCACCCCTCTATGGAGAGTTAATCGACCCCTTGCATCCTGCAGAAAGCTAAGATGAACTTCTCTCCCAGGAAGAGGTTCTCGCTCACTGTTTACTGTCTATCGTTTATGTCATTACCAAAAAAGGAAATTTTTTACGAATTGAAAAGTTGTAGGAAAGAGTTTTTTAAAAAAAAAAAATATTTTTTTTCTTTACTTTTTATATATTGTTAAATCTAAAAGTTTAATTTTTCCGAAATAGAAAATTTCACACCAAATATTGATTTATCATATTAATTTGCTAATAATAGACCTATAATATTTTTATTTGTTAAACAACTTTACTTAGAATCTGGAAAAAGATTTCAGTTACCACTTTTATGATAATTAAGGATTTCAGTCAAATCTTTATAGTATTCAATTAATATATTGTTATATCATATGATCAAGTGATAATTCCTTAAGTTATGAATATAAAGAATTGAGAAACATGTTACAAATTAGCCTTTTATTACTTTTTCATATTTGTATTATTTGTTACTCTTAATAATTTAGTATACCAATTATATTCTTTATTTCTTTTTATATAAATAGAATAATTATGTATTTCATGTATAAGGGGGAAAATAATAGAGAAATTATAAGAAAGTTGTAAAGAAAATGGAGAGAGACTTGTAGAAGAATTAAAGGTGAAATTGGTAAAATTAGAAGTGTAATAATGTTTTGATAATAAATAGTTCTCTACAAATCATCACAGTTATATTTGTCTTTATACAATTATAATTGTTAAGCCTTTTGCCTTATAATTGTTACAATCTCAAGTATGTTCTCTACAAACTATAACATATCACATTAGGATTATGTTCTAAATAAAGTGTCTTCCTGCTATAAGTTCTCTGTCCTATGCTGGTTTTTGAAGTTGAATTGGCATATGATAATATTATAAACTCTAAACTTAAAAATATAAGAATTTTAAAAACTATTATTGTATTAAAATAGGATCTTTAATTAAAAAATTAACAGATTTGAAATTCCAATTTACTTTCTAATTACACTAAAAAGATTTATATTAATTTTTTTTTTTTTTTGGGGTTGAATGGTATTAGATGTAAGTCTTTATTGATATTAAACCATATCTATTACAATATATCAAACATCTTCTGTAACTGTTACACTACAGCTTAATACTAGACTATTAATTATCTATTGCTCATTAATACTAATCTGATACTCTTGAAGTATTTTTCACATCTTCGGAGGAACCTATCTAGGGGGAAATTCCTACCATTAGTTTAAACCATCTAATCTACCAGTCCAATTTTTATGCAAGAATAATAAAATACTACTTACTATCCTTTAAGTAACTCATCACTATATACCTTTTCACTCACGCAGCTAATGTGGCAGAGAAATCTTCACGTTGGTCTATACTTCCTAGTGAATGCTCCGAATCTTTTTATTCTCTGATTGGCTATTAGTTACCAAACCTAAAGATCTTTTTTTGACCAATTGGGACGCGAATCCGCAAGAACCATATAGGCCAGACGGATGGCTTTTGACCACCCCACTCCCAAGGTCCCTGTTTCCTAATAGACATATCCAAAGGGGCCAGTTGGCGTAAGCTGCCAAATCTAGAGGCACGAATGCCAAGCAGGGTGCAACTTCTACAAATACGGTAAGCTGTCAGGGGTCCATGTCGCACAAGATATTAGTGTTAGTTCAGCATGTTTCTTCAAAGTTGCCTTATTTAGAAGTAAGTAAAATGAGGAATATTACTCAGGTTGGTTAAGATAGAGTACAGCCCAGTCTGTGCATATAAATGTATGGTTGGTTCAGGCTTCTGTTAGATGATCATCATACTGCTTCCAGATAATTATCCTGCCCCGTACCTTTTTTGGAGATCACAATCCCAACATTCTACTGGATCAATATACAAATGACTTCCTATGGAAAACAGAGCTTAGTAGGTTATGGCCCCAGATACTATTTTTAATTCGATTCAACTGCCTTCACCTGGAGTTGAACTGGTATCTTGTGATCTGACCTGTAGAGTATTAACTACTACACTATGGACCCACAGGTCTTTATATTAATTAATTTTTTTAATTTTGTCTTTATATATATATATATATTTATTATTATAATTATAATTATTTTTTTTATTAAAAAAACTAAAAAACTCTTTCCTGTATACAACATTTTTCTTAAAATTTTTCTTTTATAGTAATTTTTAAAATTAGAAAAAATATTTCTTTCACTCTCTAATACTCACAAGTTCTCTATATCTCTTTAACTTTCAATATTAAAAACCTCAAGAAACTAAAGAAGTATACTGGTACATCGAGATGAGACTTCTGGTCAGGAGTAAGCAAGCTTGGGGAACTTGCTTTTTTCTTGAATTGCATGAGGAAAGGCTTATGGCAGTTGCTTCTTTACAAGTTTTTCTTGGGGTTTTTCCCATTTATATTTCTTATTAATATACCTCTTATTAATATACAAACACTTTTAAATATTTATGTTCTTGACTTGGAGAACTTTATTTCATTCTAAAATACAAACTTTCATATTAACTTTGTTTATATCACTGGCTTGGAGAACTATTGGTATATACAAAAAACAACTTTTACTATCGTTCAATATATTTTAATATGTCACAAAAATCAAAAATTCTTGCTCAAAAACTTTTTTTCCAAAAAACTGCAATTAGTTTGCCCCTGGCAACTGATTAACATCCTACCTTCAACCAATCACACATTATCAAATATTCAAACACATTCATTATACCTGTCAAAAATCA